AAGCTGTCATCTGACTCATTTAAACCTGATCAGAACTTGACTAAACTGGGGCATGCTTGAGTAGCTTGGAACCATATATGTGGTTTTTCTGACCTTAAAAAGAAACTGTAAATGCACCTTAGAGGATTCAAGCCCAGCTGACAGACAGGAAACTGTTGCAATGCATCGTGAAAGTGGAAAAAAAAAAGAAAAGGAAACATGAAAGCTCAAATTCTGCTAAGGGACCTGAAGTTTGGTGCATCTGACTTCTGGGTCCCCAGATTAAGAAAGAATGAATGAGCCTGATTATCAGAGGAGCTCTTCACTCACAGCTCCTACTGCCTGAAGAAAGGCAAAACCAGCTTGCAAACTTGGCTCTCTGGGAGCTGGAGCCCCCAAAATTCAGGCACTTGGGGAGGACAGGGAGAAGTGATAAAAATAGCAGTCCATTTCTCACCTGCATTCGCACAGGGCAGCAGAGTGCCCCGTGTGCTCACGGAGGGTGAGGGGTGCAAAGTTCTCACCCTGCTTGTCTCTCTTTCTCCTAGGACCACCTCTCCGAGCCACGCTCCCCCGCCAACGGTGACTACCGCGACAGCGGGATGGTCCTCGTCAACCCCTTCTGTCAAGAAACGCTATTTGTAGGACATGAGCAAGTCTCTGAAATATGACCCCGCAGCTGCCCGCGTATTGCAGTCTCATCTCTACTGTCTCCAAATTATAAATAAATATATATATTATAAATATAACCTTTGTGTAACCCTGAATTACAAGAAACATTTTCAGCTTTTCTTTTCTCCCTCAGAATTGTCAACCCCTTTTTTATAAGTGTGGTAAAACTTTACAGGACAAACTGTGGCTTTATAAAATAAAGGTATTTCTAAGCAAAACACCTGTCGGACTGTTTTCTTCACTGTCATTTAGAGTCTGCTGCTAAATATGCTTGGTCTGGACGAATATTGGCTGGTTTTGGTGCAGGCAGCATGTGTAGGGTACAGCATCCTTCATCCTACATGACATCGCGCAGCCTGGCTGTGAGCGTTGCTGCTTGGTGACCGTCCCTTCTCTTACTGTAAAATGACTTTGGTCACTCCTTTCCTTTAGACTGCCAGTCTTGTGTCCTTTGCATGACTCCAGCACTGCCTGAGCACTGACTGGGATGAGCCCTTCAGAGTCCCCCTTCCAGTAAAAACCAGCCAGGGTTTCCCAGCTTGGCAGAGGGAGAGCAGAGGAGCTGGGCTACAGTGGGATGACAAACAAACCTGATGCATCCATGGGATCCCAGGCCACGCAAGACATGGGCAAACCCCTTGGAGTAGTAATGTTGCCCCATGACTTTTTTATGTCACCTTCTTCACACTTAAACAGGAAAGCCAAGTTCCAGTTCGAGCTCCAAAACTGTTTTACAGGAGCAAGGACCAGAATGACCATTTTTCCTGCGTAAATGTCCTAACCACACTACACGTTGGACTCATAGCGGCTCCACTCCAGCCTGATGAGTCCTGAATTATTTCCTGCAGAGCAAACAGCCTCAAAAGAAGGCACATGGAGTATCCCCTTCAAAGGAGCAGAAACCTCCTTTGAATTTATCCAGAGTCTTAAAATCTGGTGACTAGGGACTCCCACCAATCGACTGCTGTGGCTTTGACCACATTTCTACCTCCCCACTGTTTTATTTATCTTGTGGGCTTAGACTGCTAGTGCCATTGAATCAAGTTTCCTCATAAACTTCTCTACTCTCTGAGACTTTCCTCCCCCCCTTAGGAACGAAAACGCAGTGTTTCAGAGAGAAATGGCATTTCAGTCCTACCCAGTTAAGCGCTAGATTGCAGGCTGTAATAGTGTTAGGGGAATAGTAGGGGTGAACGAAGCTTAAATGATGGATTAAAAATAGGTTTTTACAAGGAGAGGCTAGCATGGAACATGGAATGACTTTGCCTAAATTGATGCTCTCTCTCTTCGAGTAACCCAAAACTGTTACCATGGGACTAATTTTCAGTTTTGCTGCTCAAATTGCCTTTTCTGTATTGTAAGGCAAGTGAAAGGGCCTCTGTGCTTTGAGGGCTCGGCTGTCCTCTCCCCACCTCTGGACATCAGTCCTTGTAGGTTATTTTCTGCCTTCACTCCTCACTTCATCAGTAACAGACTGTGAGACGGCAAGGCGTTTGCCCCCTGCTCCAGCTGGCTGCTCCATGCCACTGGCTGCTCAGGTTTATCGCTTGGTTGCGTGAAAGGGAAGCTTGAGCAGGACAGGGTTAGTGTGGCATCACTAACCATATGCCTTGCTCAAGGTGAGCCATGGCTGATAACCAGAAAAGGGCACATCTGGTCCAGCTGTTCCCACTTGCCAGCAGTGTCCCAGCGGCTGCGGTTAGTCAGAGCAACCTGGCAACTTCACTAAATGATGGCTGGAATCAGACCAAGACGTGGCTCCTGCCGGGACCGGGGACCCCGGTGGCGTTGCCGTCCCTCCTTTCTCCCTGTCCCACACATGCACTTCTACTGTGCTGAGGCACGAGTCTCAACGTGGGCCACAGGCTTCCTAAAATTAGAAAATTGTAATGGTACAGAGGCTCTTCTAGATACTTGATTTTCTGCTCAGAATCAGAGAGTAATGCCCCGCTTCCCTACGAGGTGACCGGGGCGGGCAGGGAGGCGTGGCTGTGTGTGGCGGTGGATGGGCACTTTGGGAATACATCTTTTCACCGTGGGATTAAACGCTAGGCAATATGATATCTGCAGTCATCGTGATCAAACACTAAACAGCCTTCTGGAAGTCACTGGTTGATTGCAAAGTAAAAGCTTCCTGAGGGTCTTGCCAAGAGCAAAAGCAATCCCGTGAGGACCTTCATCTTCTATTTCAACAGGGAGGTAGAAAGAATGAGGTTATAGACAACTAAATTCAGCTCTTTGAAAAAAAAGCCCATATTTTTACATTTGCTTTCTGTACACAGTATCGCTTTTGCAAGGCAGATTTATTTTTTTTTTATTTGACACAGAGCAAATACACTGAAAATGTTGTGTAAGAAAAACTGGAGCATCCCTCTGATTTAGCCAGCACAGTTTGCTTGGTAATACGAATGCAGAATGCCTAGGAGATTTGGCTTGCATGGCAAGGTTTTGGTAGCTCCCCCCGTGTCCAATAGAGCCAATGCCAGCCAGCTCCCAGATAGACTCTCCACTGGCCAAGCCCATCAGCAACAGTGGTAGCACCTCAGGGACAACATATTTAAGGGGAGGGGAAAAAAAACAGTGCAAGAGAAAACTGCAGCCGGAGGAGTAAGACTATGTGAGAGAGAAAACTCTGCAGACGCCTAAGTCAGTGAAGAAGAAGGGAGAGGAGGTGCTCCAGGCACCGGAGCTGAGGTTCCTCTGCGGCTCATGGTGAAGACCATGGTGAGGCAGGCTGCATCCCCTTGCAGCCCATAGAGGTCCACAGTGGAGCAGAGCTCCAGCTGCAGCCCGTGGAGGACCCCACACCAGAGCAGGTGGATGCCTGAAGGAGGCTGTGACCCTGTGGAGAGCCCGCACTGGAGCAGGCCCCTGCCGGGACCTGCGGACCTGCGGCGAGAGGAGCCCATGCCAAAGCAGGTTTGCTGGCAGGGCTTGTGACCCGCCCCGCGCGGGGGCAGCCTGTTCCTGAAGAGCTGCACCCCCGGGAAGGACCCACGCTGGAGAAGGGGCAAAGTGTGAGGAGTCCTCCCGCTGAGGAGGAAGGAGCAGCAGAGACAATGTGTGATGGACTGACCGTAACCCCCCATTCCCCATCCTTCTGCACCCCTGGGGGAGAGAATACAGGACTAAAGTTAACCCAAGAATGGAGGGGTGGGGGAAGGTGTTCTAAGATTTGATTTTATTTCTCATTATCCTGCTCTGATTGATTGGTGGTAAATTAAACTAATTTCCCCAAGTCAAGTCTGTTTTGCCCGTGACAGTGATTGCTGAGTGATCTTTCCCTGTCCGTATCTTGACCCTCGAGACTTTCGTCATATTTTCTCTCCCCTGTCCAGCTGAGGAGCAGAAGTGATGGAGCAGCTTTTGTGGGCAGCTGGCATCCAACCAGGGTCAACCCACCACACCTAGAAACTAGCCAAAAATATTTGCAAAGCTGTGAGGTACTGTACTATTCCCAGGCTTTGCACAGCTGGGAAATGGTGACCTGACTGTAGGCAGTCTCGCAGTTCTCAAACCTAAAAAACAAATGCAACAAACTCCAGCCACAAACCTGGCAAGCCAGGATTAGGCACCCGCAGAAGACAGGGATTTCTGACTGTAGTCCATCTTGCCAAAGATCCACCGCCGCCTCTGTGCAACCCTACACCGCATTCGGGCAATGCCCATCATCAGCACATTGCAGGCGTGCCTGCAAAGATGCACACACCATAATGCTGCACTGGAACAAGTCTGGTGTCCTGGCTGCACAGCATCCCTGCGTGGAGGTAGAAAAAGCTATACCTAAAGTTGTACAGTGAAGGATCCCACTGTCCCGTTCACACATCCTACTGATGTACCCATAAACTACCCACCTGGTTACCAGTAGTCAAAGAGCAGTGACATAAAAACAAAGTGGGGGAGAACTCCCCCATCCCCTGCAATGAAGTCTCGGGGGTTGTTTTGCCCTTTTGTTTCGGTCCGCAGTTGCCTCGCTTCGTCGCCGCGTCAGGCAGTCAACGAGAAATGGGCCCTCATTGAACAGAGCAAGCGCAGCTGATAATGTGAGGTTAAACCAGCTGAGCAGGGGTAGACGTGATGGTGCTTGTTCCTAGTTAAAATCTTCCGGGCTTGGGCAACGTGCCTTGGTCGGGTGGTGAAGCCAAAGCGCAGAGAAATCCAGAAGCTGCAGCAGAGCCAAGGGAGCATTCGAGGCTCTGCGGCAGCAAAAGGCTGGCTTGGCTCGGCGCAGCTCGCCCATGGCCCTGCCGGCTCCACAAAACTTTCGGGTTTGCTAACTTTAAGTGACGTCTTGCTGCAGGAGACTCTGGAGCAAGCATGGGTGCGAGCGGCTGATGCATTCCTAAGATATGTCTAGATACCTGCGGGTGTAAGGGTCGGAAATCATCTGGATGTCAGGGTAGAAAACACCACTGGCATTTTAACGCGTACATTGTACTGAATCCCTGTCCCGCTGTCCTTGTAAACACCATTGTGCTCTTCATCTGCCACATTTGCAGCAGCAGCAGCAGGGAGATTTCCCCTGAAATGGGATTGCTGACCCAGCGGCCGCCTGGACAATGCGACGGGCGCTCCTGGGCAGCACAAAGCCACCCTTCCAGAAAGCCGTCGCACAAAGCCGAAACCCCGCACGAGCCCCAACCTGCTGGCCTCGGCA